TTGAAGATGCTGGTGAGGATCAGAGGAGACCCTGTCTCACATCCACATTCACGCTGCGCCACCGGACCCGGGTTTGTCGTCCGAAGATGCTTCATCTGATTTCACGTCGAAGCTCCTCTGCTGAGCAGCCGCTAAGATACATCCCTTGTGCGATTCCCCCGGGGACAGCGGACCCCTGTGCTGAGGGGACATCCAAGGGGACCGCCACCGCAGCATTATGTCCTCCTTGTTCTCTTAGGACTGAACATGACCCAAGTGTTGAGCTGACTTCTTTAGCGGCGTGGATTTCCCTTGACCTTGCTAACCCTGTGCCTCCTCTCTGGAAGGGTGTGGAAGATCTCCAGGATTTCACAAAGCACATGCATGGGCACATTTTGCTCTTCTGACCCTCTCCTGCATAACTCAGGCCCAAACCATTGGCACCATTGGCTTTGGAGAACAAGAATAACAGTCTCCTCTTCCCAGGGTATTTCATGCTTTGGATGAATCAAATCTGTATACACTGAGATGTCCTACTTGCTGCAGGTGCAAATGGCATCTGTTTCCTTCCCCGTGCAGATATGTATGGGTCTGATGAAGGGAGAAAGCTCCATACGAAGAACTTTCTCCTATATCCCAGCTCACTACTCCTATAATATTATCACCGAATTAAATCAGACACAGTGACATATGGTCCCCTTAAGCTGCTTATATAAATGTGTCGTTGATGGAATTTTTAGCTTTAGTGTTTAGAGAACTAATTCCTCAGAGTAAAAATAAATAAATAAATAAATAAAAAATGAAGAAGCTATTAATATTTTAGCACATTCACCAAAACGTTAGACACACATTACTTCCAGTTGCAGACAACATATCCTGCATTGCCATTTGTTATTTTTAAACCACACACGATTAAAACAAACATCTCAGCAGGGGAAAAAAAAAAATCCTTTAAAGCTCCCTTCTTACCTAGGAACAGAGTCAATATACCGGCTCCTGAGGTTTTAGTTGATCATTCAACACATGGTATTTTTATTCCTCATGCCCGACAAGGTCCCCTTTTTAAGACTACTGGAAGCAGTATACATGCATTGGTATGGTTTGTCATTTATTATAACAGCCAATGCATATGCATGCATCTCCTTCAGTAGGAGCGTAAACGTACAGGGAAACCCCAAGTGTGTCCATTCTTCCATCAGGACCTGAATCTTGCAATTTTCAGTATGAGTTTTTGTTTCTTTATTTACATGAAGCATATGCAATTCTTTAAAAGACTTTTTTTTTTCCTCCCAACTCAAATTGAGAATGCAGCCAAGGACAACAATAAATCTAGGGCAGGTTGCAACTGAAGTCTTCTGATGCAGTGCAAAAGGTTTCTTTCTTAGCCCAAATCTGCAGCGCCTTCATAGACGTAACTCCCAGAGACAGCAAAGGGAGGCTTGTCTGCATGATCAGCCTGACAAGAGGCTTCACTGATCAAGAACTGGGATCTCTTACAACAGAGCAGTGGGATTTATTTGGCTTTAAGTACTAAAAGCACCAAGAGATAAAATAACTTATTTTTTTTTTTTTACCGGGGATCAGAACCTCTTTTACTGAATTCCCCAAATCCTTTAAAATACAAATAAAGCTAAGTAAATGGAAAAAGCCCTGCAAACTTAATGACCTTAAAGAACAAAAACGATGCTAAAACTACTTAGTGGTGATTCCATAGCTTTCTACAAATGTCACTCCATTACATTATCTCCGTTTTAGACCTGGAGCCCAAATGAGCTGAGATCAGGTGAAGTACAGCCGGTTTGAAAAACTGGGGCAAGAAAAACCACATCTGCTTTTGTTAAATTAAAAATAAGAATGTTTCAGCTGTCAGGCATCCATTGCCACACATTTACACATTTATACCATCCCTGAAATGACTTTATCATCACGTATGAGTCCATTCGCATTTGCTACCCTTCTCTATTCATTGCTACCTGCATCATTTTCAAGAGGGTTTAAACGACAAGGTACGGCAGTCCAATAACAGGTTAGTCCCCAGCAAGGACTGGCCCCTTCGGCCGTACCCAGGTACCGGACAAAATCTCCAAACACTATGAAAATTTGCAGAAATAGCACCAGGCTGGGCAGGGAGAGGATTATGAGTATTTGCACAAAGATTACACACCCTCAGCTCATTCCTGCCCTGCAATGTCAGAGATCTGGCTCATCAGGGGAGGGAAGAGGCCCTTTTTTCAGCTGCTGCTAATGCTCACTCTGCACTTGCATCTAACCTGAACACGGGGCTGGTGCTAAGAGGGGAAATGGGAAAAAATCCAGCATTTCTCCCATGTAGGCCAGCACTGGTAGAGGCGCCTGCCTGCAAGTCTGCAGTTAGCAAAGACCCCCATGCGCGCCGCACCCTGGAAAAGGCACTGTCCTTTCCTGTCTAACCCAGGAGCCGAGGGAATAGTACCGCAGCCGCAAGCTGTGTTGGCAAGTGGAGGCTGCTGTAACGAGAGGGCCTGGCTCGCTTTGGCAGATGCTCCCCTCTACCTAAAAGCTCGCCTGGTCTTTTTCTCTACGCTTCTCCCTGCTGACGTGGAGCTCCGGTCCGCACCCCCGTTGCCATCGGTGTGAATTTACAAGGACGGGGGCTGCCGACACACAGTGACATATGGTCCCCTTAAGCTGCTTATATAAATGTGTCGTTGATGGAATTTTTAGCTTTAGTGTTTAGAGAACTAATTCCTCAGAGTAAAAATAAATAAATAAATAAATAAAAAATGAAGAAGCTATTAATATTTTAGCACATTCACCAAAACGTTAGACACACATTACTTCCAGTTGCAGACAACATATCCTGCATTGCCATTTGTTATTTTTAAACCACACACGATTAAAACAAACATCTCAGCAGGGGAAAAAAAAAAATCCTTTAAAGCTCCCTTCTTACCTAGGAACAGAGTCAATATACCGGCTCCTGAGGTTTTAGTTGATCATTCAACACATGGTATTTTTATTCCTCATGCCCGACAAGGTCCCCTTTTTAAGACTACTGGAAGCAGTATACATGCATTGGTATGGTTTGTCATTTATTATAACAGCCAATGCATATGCATGCATCTCCTTCAGTAGGAGCGTAAACGTACAGGGAAACCCCAAGTGTGTCCATTCTTCCATCAGGACCTGAATCTTGCAATTTTCAGTATGAGTTTTTGTTTCTTTATTTACATGAAGCATATGCAATTCTTTAAAAGACTTTTTTTTTTCCTCCCAACTCAAATTGAGAATGCAGCCAAGGACAACAATAAATCTAGGGCAGGTTGCAACTGAAGTCTTCTGATGCAGTGCAAAAGGTTTCTTTCTTAGCCCAAATCTGCAGCGCCTTCATAGACGTAACTCCCAGAGACAGCAAAGGGAGGCTTGTCTGCATGATCAGCCTGACAAGAGGCTTCACTGATCAAGAACTGGGATCTCTTACAACAGAGCAGTGGGATTTATTTGGCTTTAAGTACTAAAAGTACCAAGAGATAAAATAACTTATTTTTTTTTTTTTACCGGGGATCAGAACCTCTTTTACTGAATTCCCCAAATCCTTTAAAATACAAATAAAGCTAAGTAAATGGAAAAAGCCCTGCAAACTTAATGACCTTAAAGAACAAAAACGATGCTAAAACTACTTAGTGGTGATTCCATAGCTTTCTACAAATGTCACTCCATTACATTATCTCCGTTTTAGACCTGGAGCCCAAATGAGCTGAGATCAGGTGAAGTACAGCCGGTTTGAAAAACTGGGGCAAGAAAAACCACATCTGCTTTTGTTAAATTAAAAATAAGAATGTTTCAGCTGTCAGGCATCCATTGCCACACATTTACACATTTATACCATCCCTGAAATGACTTTATCATCACGTATGAGTCCATTCGCATTTGCTACCCTTCTCTATTCATTGCTACCTGCATCATTTTCAAGAGGGTTTAAACGACAAGGTACGGCAGTCCAATAACAGGTTAGTCCCCAGCAAGGACTGGCCCCTTCGGCCGTACCCAGGTACCGGACAAAATCTCCAAACACTATGAAAATTTGCAGAAATAGCACCAGGCTGGGCAGGGAGAGGATTATGAGTATTTGCACAAAGATTACACACCCTCAGCTCATTCCTGCCCTGCAATGTCAGAGATCTGGCTCATCAGGGGAGGGAAGAGGCCCTTTTTTCAGCTGCTGCTAATGCTCACTCTGCACTTGCATCTAACCTGAACACGGGGCTGGTGCTAAGAGGGGAAATGGGAAAAAATCCAGCATTTCTCACATGTAGGCCAGCACTGGTAGAGGCGCCTGCCTGCAAGTCTGCAGTTAGCAAAGACCCCCATGCGCGCCGCACCCTGGAAAAGGCACTGTCCTTTCCTGTCTAACCCAGGAGCCGAGGGAATAGTACCGCAGCCGCAAGCTGTGTTGGCAAGTGGAGGCTGCTGTAACGAGAGGGCCTGGCTCGCTTTGGCAGATGCTCCCCTCTACCTAAAAGCTCGCCTGGTCTTTTTCTCTACGCTTCTCCCTGCTGACGTGGAGCTCCGGTCCGCACCCCCGTTGCCATCGGTGTGAATTTACAAGGACGGGGGCTGCCGCTCTGGGACCCCTCATTTATCCCACAAGCTGGCACCTCTGGAGACCCACGTAAGGCAAGCCCTCGCGTGGCCTGGCCCTGTGCTGCCCTGCGCACGGCATGCCTGCACCCTGCATAGGCAGGAGGGCGTCTGGGGGCTAACCGCGGCCGACCTGCCTGGAGCCGGCATGCAGGCGGACGTGGTCGCCGGGTGTTGTGGGGCTAGCCCAACCCATAGCACCGAGTCCAGCCTCGACGCTTCACCCAAAACATGCACCCGCACCGGCTGGGGTTTCCAAGCAGGGCGGACGCTGTCCCCTTCCCCCTCTCCGTCTGGGCCAGCTCTTCCACGGAGACGCTGCCGTCCCACCTTGAGGCAGCTCCGCCAGGAGTGCGACTGAGCAGGGTGATGTACGTTAACACTGGCTGGATAGACTCATTGAATATTTTATTTTACACAACATAACAACACAGAGTTGTTGTTTCTGTACAGCATTTGCCTAAAAACAAAGGCAACACCATGGTCACTGAAAAGAAATATACAGTCTGATCGGTTTAAAAAATATCGTTTTACTGACTGATCCATAAGTGGTCTTTTGCTAGTGTGAGGAAACAGCATTTCCTTTATAAAAGGCTTTTTTTTGTTTGCTCGTTTGTTTGCTTTTCTGTGAAAACTCTCTTGTTTTCTGCGACTGCAGAACCAGGAAGCCAGTCCTAGAGTAGGGGAAGGCACTGGTGCTGTCTCATGCTTTTCTCCCTTAATCTTTTTTTTTATGGTTTTTATTTAAATCTTTGAATGTTGCCTTCGGTCGTGATATTATTTTAAATTAAATTAAGTTAAACTTAAAACCTGTGTGCACTGGGTGGCTTATACGAAACCCTGCATGAACAAGCCGTACATCATCGAGACACGAGTGGAATTCCAAATCCCAATTTCCTAGGAGAGAGAGTTCCCAGACAATGTTTGGTGTTTTGTTTCTCATTAAAATAAATAAAAATTAAAAAAAAAAAAAACCAAACAAAAAACAAGCAGGTCACACAGTGCTTTCCAATATCCACTCAGAACTCGAGAAAGTTGCTTTTCCACTATCCACGTCAGACTTGTCTGACTGAATTAGCATCCCATTCATAGACAAGCTCCTTTTAGACCATAATCCACCTGTGTTCTGGGAGTTAACATAACAATGGTATTCCATTAATTCTCCATTCAGAGAGTACCTGCGCTTTGCTCGGGATGTTTCGGCTGGCAAAGTGAGAAACTTACTTGGCTTTGATTGTGCTCTTTTGTACATGGGGGCCCCTTTGACGGCGTCGGGGGGACGGCTAGCTAACTGCAGTGCAGTGGAGTTATTTCTGTTAGTGTTCTGGGACTCGATATTCGTGACAGCTTCGCTCTGTGGCTCGTTGCTTGGCTTTGGCCCTGGCTTTCTCTTCTGCTTTTGGGGGGCAGAAGTGCTGGAAGTCCACGTGTGAGGCAAAGCAGAGGTAGTGGTAGTGGAGTCCTGGCTCGAGCACGTGTCTGACGACTGAGTCACGTTGTCGTTCGGGACTTTGCAGCACTGGACGCTCTCCTCGTGCCCGACGACCTGTTTGGACATGGAATGGGGCATCGCCCCGCTGCAGCCTTGAATCTGAGCCCCGTTGGTCTGGGAGTACACGTTGTTGACGTTGGTCACCTTGTGCTGCCCGTTGTTATTACACACTTTGTACCTGATCATTAGGATGATGATGAAAACCAGCACCGAGGCCACGATAATCCCACCGATAATGATGATCATGGTGCCTCCCAGGAACTGGGACTGCATGAAGTGGCACCGCACATAATCCTGCTCCGTGGTGAACTGTATGCACCCCACGACCCTGGTGGCAGTGAGGGAGGTGATGCCGTCGTCGTAGATTGCCAAGACACACAGGTCGTAGACAGTCCCCGCGGCCAGGTTGTTGACCAGGAAGGTTTTGCTCGTGGGAGGTATCATTCTGCGAGACAAGGGAACGGGTGTTAGCCAACACGACAATCGCAATCATCTCCCATCCCCATGCTCTGAAGTCGCCGGCCGTGGGATTGCCATCCGAGTTTGACACCCCTCACCACGATGTGTTGTGTCAGGGCATACTAACTGAAGGCACTTGCACCCAAGTCAAATGGCCATGGATAGTTTGCAGGGGTGTAGGTTGTAGCCATGTTGGTCTAAGGACATAGGCAGACAAGGTTCCTTGGGTGAATTTGATATCTTTTATTAGACCAACCCAAATGGTTGGAGACCATGGATAGTTTGTGCCTTGACTTAGTAGAGCTGGCACAGCTAATTGCCCCACGGGGCAGGGTGGGGGGGAGCTCTGGCTTGCAGCCACCATGAGGCAGGGGGGGAATAGAAGAAAAAAAGGAGAAATCACTGGTGACAAATTGGTTTGGAAACGTTGCATTAGCCATCTTAAAAACAAATCCACTTAGCACACACAACACGTCTGCACGTGCTGTACCCACGGACTGGGAGAAAGCTGAGGATAGCACTGCAGGGCCTGAGCAGGAACGCATTTGTGGACATCTTCCTCCCCCACTTTCGAAAACAGAAGGTGTTAAAATCCATTTAACTCATCTAACTTTACAATCCTCCTGCTAATCAGATTACCTGAGAGGATTAAGGGTCGGTTTGGATTATCTAAAAATAACGCTATTCACAGTAATTTCCCCATTTGTTAGTGAAAATTGCATTAGTCGTTCACAAGGCTGGCACCATATGCTTTGGAGGGCAGCGCTCTGATCAGCCTAAATGGTATTGTAACCACGCCGCAAAACGGACTGAAATGAAACAGTACATTAATAAATCAATAAGCGGCGGCTTGATGGAGCACTAAGTGCAGATATAGATGCAGATGGATCTGTCTTACCTGTAAACAAGTGAGTCATCGTAAGTGCCATTGTACTGGATCTGGAACATACGTATTCCAGGTATATTTCTTTGAAAATTAAATTTCAGCAGGGCGGTGGACGACGTAGCTTCCGCCACTACCACTTTCTTGTCCTGGCTGCTTTTAGTATCCCCGTTATTACTGCTCGCGTTGGAACCCGACTTGGTGGAAGTCGAGATATCCGAGGAGCCGGGGTCGGGCTCATGGATGTGGTTTGTACTGTTTAGCAAATGAGGGAGTTTGATGATGTGCAGATCCACCGTTTGCGTGGCTTCTCCTGCCGGGTTGGAAGCTATGCAGGTGAAGGAACCTGTATCCTTGACCGTGGTTATCAATATGTCAAGCGTGCCGTTGTCATACACCAGCGACCTTGTTGCATTTGAAATCAGTTTGCCCTCCGGTGAAATCCAATGGATCGCTGGCTCTGGATCTCCGCGGGCCTTGCATCGCAGGGTGGCCCTTTGGCCCTCGAGCACTCTCAGCTCGTGCGTGTGCCTGGTGATGAGCGGGGGCTCGCACAGGAACTCCTCCTCTGGGATCGACCAAAAGTACCGACCGGAGAGCAGCGGGGGAGAGGCGCACGTCTCTAGGTCGTCTTCTCTGGAAAGGCGCCTCAGCCACAGGAGCTCGCAGTTGCAATGCAAAGGGTTCCCACCAAAGCTCAACGCAAAAGTCGAGGGGCTGATAATTCCTGAGGTTGCTAATACCTGAGCTCTCTGAAAGAGAGGATCAGGCGGCAGCTTCTGCAGTTTGTTCGACGTGACATCTAACCTGGTCATCTTGTGGAGATGGGAGAAAGTCCCCTTAGGAATGTGGTCAATCATATTATGGTCCAGACTGAGCGTGTGCAAGCTAACCATCTTCTCCACAGCATCCCAAGGGATGGTTTCCAGGTTGTTATAGGACAAATCCAGTTCCTCCAGGGCCAAAACATCATCAAACGCTGTGGAAGAAATCAAAGTCAGCTGGTTGTTGTTCAGTATCAAGTGGTGCAGATTGGAAAGCCCACTAAACATGTCATTGGTGATCTTAGTCAATCGGTTGCTGTTCAAATGCAAAGCCCGCAAATTGCGCAAATCAGCAAACGCATGGGGTGTAATAAAACTTATTGTATTCCTGGACAGCGTCAGGTCCACAAGGCTGGTCATATTGGCAAAATCTTTCCTTTTGATATTTGTAACAAAATTGTCTGCCAGCCGCAGCTCCACAGTCCTTCTGTCGATGTTTGGTGGGACAAATAAAAGCCCTTTCTTGGCACAAAGGGTTGCGAGATTCGGAGACAAGATTTGACAGACACAGCGCTTTGGGCAGATCTGGGCTCTCACTGCTACGCCAATGAACAGCAGATACAAAAGCAGTTTTTCCATTGTAGATCAGGTTTAAGAGCCTGCAAGAGAACAGACAGCACATGGTTACGATCTCCAGGCAGAGGCCTGACCCAACGCAGAGCAGCACGCGTGCAGCGGGGAAGCAAGGAAAGGCGGATTCGTGCTGGGGTTAAGGCACAGGCCTGGCACTAGGATGACATGGGTCCCCTTCCCATCTCATTCAGTGGCAAACCCTGTGGATGGGGCTCATCTCATAAACTGTGGAAGTGCAGCGCCTAGCACAGTGAGGCCTCATCTGAGGTTTCCCTGTACTATCCCAGTTCAACAGATGAGGCCAACAGGAGATGGTCAGATTAGACCGAATAATGTCACTCTTAATTGTTATCTGAATGCATTAGAAGAGCTATGGAAATACATTAGCCACGGGTTCTCTTAATGGTGGCATTTATAGTTTGGTATCGAAAAGCAGACGGAGGCAGGGTCCCCTAGCAAATATACACTTTGTCCTGTCTCAGATATGCCCTCTTGACACCGTAACACATGACAAGGCTTTGTGATACTGCTTTGTCCTTATCCACTGAGGATGGAAACCAGTCCAGTAAATGGGCTTCCCTGAGCAGCTCCTGCCTTGCAAACGATGACAAGCTGATAGGTGAGTGTGCAAGAGCACACACCAACTGCTGAAACTTCCTTAACCTGACGAAGGGTTTTTGAACCCGAAAGCTTACTTAATAACTATTCTCCAACTATTTGGGTTGGTCTAATAAAAGATATCAAATTCACCCAAGGAACCTTGTCTGCCTATGTCCTTAGACCAACACGGCTACAACCTAAACCCCTGCATTTCCCTTGGGCACTTACACTCTTTCTGTTATCTCCAGAATCAGCTCGCTTGAGTTCACCACAAAATCAGCCAGAATTAAATACATTTTATTTAAATTTCTACCGACATGATGCTTTTGGCTCTGCAAATGAATGGTAGAAAGTGATCACCCTTTTCCCTGACTCCACAGTTAGCGGCGCTGCACCCTTGACGGGGCTATTACAGCCTTCGCCTTGTTCTTCTTCTGCACACATGCTGTGGGGGTCTCCTCTCCACTAGCCTGTAAGACAATGCCCACCTAGGCAGGTTAACTCAGCTAGCAGTGACCCCCCAGGAACTCCAACAGCATCGCGGCGCCCACCCCTACACGTGGAGCGCTGGAGGTGAAGGTTGCATCTCTGCAGCAGCAGACTCATACTAGCAAGCAGACACTGGGTGCAACATCTACATGTGCAATTAATTTGAAGTAGGCTTACTGCACAGAAAATATATTGTGCAATAATCTTACTCAGGGCACGTCTATGTGTGCTCCCTCTTGGGAGCAGATTTGCTCCCAATGGGAGCTGCCCAGCTAGTGCTCACTGCTCGTTGCCCCACTGCTCAGCTCCCTGATCCTATGGGGATGGGAGCGGGGGGCAGGGACAGGGCGGAGGTGGGAGGGCAGAGAAGGGCCCAGGCCCCATACTGATTGGCTCCTGGCTCCTGGGGGAAGCTGGGAACTGAGCAGCACTAGGACCAGGGGGAAGCTGGAAACTAAGTAGCACTAGGACCTGCTGGTGCGGCTGACCGGGAGCAAATTTGCTCCCACTCAGCGTCTACACAAGCCCTACTGTGCAGCAGATACTGTGCACTTAGTTTAGTACAGGTACTAGCGAACTGCAAAGTAAAGTAATTTACTGTGCAGTAGTTTAAAACATGTTACTTGGTGATGCTTTACTGCACAGTAAATTAGTCAACTGTGCAGTAAAGTGTCTCATGTAGACACACCCAGTAAAGATGCTAGGTGGATGCATCTCTTGTTCTAGGAGTGAGTGAGATGGAAGGGCCATCGCCCAATCCTTTAACACTCATGTTTCTCTCCAAAGCATGTCTGCCCGCTTGAGCTGTAATCCTATATGGCCCCAAGTGCATGAAAACTGCCAAACACGGACCAGAAATGGTCCATATGCATGGACCAGAAATACACAGCCACGCTATCCACTCAGAGAAATACACTAGCACAAGGGTATACATTTAATGACCATGAATGCACGTGGTGTTTCATAACTGGAAAATGCTATAACATAGAGGAAAGTGCTGGCCTGGGAAAAATAACCGGTGTTGCTGTCTGCCAGTCCATTCCAAAACTGGGCAGCAAAATGTCATAGCACTCAATAAGTTGCAATGAAAATCAGTGAAAATATCAACCCTCTAAATCCCGTTCATCAGACCCGCTGCGCACCCACAACTGCAGTGGAAGCTCATGGAAACCGGAGTTGTTCCTGGCCTCTGAGTCAGGCCAGTGAGTCTCTCAGAAAAGAAAGAGAAAAGTTTTTACTCCGTACTCGAATAGGACGTGGTCCACACTTGTCAGTACAGAGGATAATCTCAAACAGGGGCTAAAACCCGTGAGAAAACGCGCTCCCGCAGGAGAGTGATTACATGGAGCACGCTGTTTATTTTGTTGAAGTTGAGGGTTTTGAGTCAACAGAACTGTTGTCTTTCCCCTCCTTAACGAGATAATATTTACACTTCTACCGTAGCGCAGAGGTTTTCCCTCTAGCACATTCTTTGTAGGCAGGATGCCTTTCTAAGTACAGACAAACACATCACCCGGGGACAAGAAAATGGTCCCTCATCATTGCATCAATCTTTCGGCCTCTGGTGCTCCCATAACATATGCTCAAGAGAATCAGTATTTATCTGACAAGTGGGAAAGGAAATAAAACACAAATTTATTTTTCACAACCAGCTGAGAGCATAATCTGCTCCCTGTAGAATCCAATGTTGCACCAATTTGTACTGGGCTCCATCGACGAGGACTGCCCGTTCATGGACTATAAATGCACCGATTAAATTAGTTCCCTTTTCTGCTAGCCTTGAACTCAGGGGAGGTAGATTGTTCTTGTCAGCAACTGTAAAATTTTAGGATAAAACCTTTTGCGCTTCTGTTGAGAATAATTTTGGCATTAATTCCAACAGTAAGCAAAATTCAAGGGTGACGTTTAAAAGAGTTTTGAGAATTAGGTTGCACGCCTTTTATGGCCGTGATATACGTTGGGAAGGTTTTACAATTGAAAATGGAATCAAAGCAGTGAAAACCAGAGATGCTGAACAGTGGTGAAGTGCAAAGAAAGTAAGGTTTCTTTTACCCGTGACTTAGAAGCTAATTTTGTGCTGCTGTTTGCTCGAGCCTGTTCAGTTCGCGTTGTTGATGGGGCATCTGCATATATTGCCCATTAAGCCACGTTGCACAGAGACAGACATCAGTACACGTGTGCGTGCTGCCCCCAGCCACGTCACCTGCCATGCAGTCATGTCCACACCCGCTTTAATCAGTGACTCCTGGAACGGGGTCCTAAGAGTTGTGGCCCAGAAAAGGGTAATTTCACCGGCTAAACCAAACCCAAGTGCTTCTCTGCAAACTGACTAGCTGCATCATGTCTGCCTGTATTTAAAAAGCTACCTGCCTTCATTAAGAAGCTACCTGCTTCCCGTCAGTCCAGCCTGTGTGCCCACAGCGCACCTCATCACCGACATACGGGATGGCGAGATCAGTGAGGTGAGGCTGCCGCGAGAGGGGCTGCAAATAATGAGGGGCGGCAGGTCCCCGGAAACATGAAGCACTTGGGGACCTGGGGTGCACAGGACACGTACCGATGGGGAGGCGCAGATGAGTGGGTGCAGCACAGCACTGAGGCAATGCTGTTTTCGGTCTAGCTCCCCACTTTGGGCACTGCTGCAATACAAATAAGGGAGAAACACTATTAGGACCAGAGTGGGCTAGGCATGACTGGAGCCAAAGGGATGGCGCTGGAGGACATAGGACCTCTCCAGCTCTGGGTCTCACACTCCAGGCCGATGAAGGCTGCATCTTCTTGCTACCACATCTGCAGATCGGTCTGGAAGAGCCACACCGAGGGTTTTAAGGAGGATCACGCTGGTTGTAATATAGAAGCAAGCAATGCTTCGACTGAGCCCCTGCCTTTAAGTCATTACTCATGTGTGTTTTAAACCCTGTGCATCTTGCAAGGAATTGCTGGCATTTACCACTGATGAATAATACACATTATTTTAATTAACAGTCATGGCAAAGCCCGGATGGGACTCGAAGGCATGGCCTCCTGCTCCGTTCTGCCTGGAGCTGTGTCTGAGCCGAGGTCCTGCCACAGTGCAGAGCACACGGGCAGGGTGGGGAAAGGCAATGTTTCTTGACTGCAGGACAAGAAGCAGCATTTTTTTCCACCAGCTGAAATGAGACAGCCCTTTTTCTACCAGAAATGCTATAATAAAAGGCAAAAAAAGGGAGGTGTCCCAAAATACAGTGGAAATGACTGGAAGAGGTGACCTGGCAGGGTAGCCAAGGTTCAGCCCAGACCCTCAGCTCCCCGAAATCAGCCAGCAGCTACCTCTGATGTGTCCAGACCGCTTCTCCCCTCCTCACTTCCGATCCACCCCTCGGTGCTGCGTCTGCCACAAAGACGTGGCACACACAGCACCATTGCCACGGCACAAGTCTGTTTGGAAAACAACCCGTGATCCGAGCCAAGCCTAGCCTTTGCTCTCAGCTCTAGAAAAGGGCACTTTCTTCTCAAAAGGGTGGAGACGCGTCATTTGCATTGATTAAGAGTCAACAGCACCAAGGATGAGAATCCCCCATCTGACATGCTGGACCCGGTGTTTGCTATTCTGATCAAGAGGATGTGTTTATTATTATTATTATTTTTTATATTAGCCCCAAGCTGACACCTGGTACTTTGAGCCCCTCCATCTGTACGGTAGAAGTTGAACCAGAGCTACATTTGCTGCACTTAGTAAAACAGCCCTCCGGGTGAGAAGCCGGCAAAGAGAAACAACTGTCACAAGGCTGCCTTTAATTAGGTGGGTGGAAGAGTTTCCAAGAGTTAGCAGATGAGAGTGGGCCAGTCCCTGTCATCACCCAAGTTCATGCAACATTTATAACTTCTACATAGCAACCCTCTCGGAACAAAAAAAACAACCACTCCATGTCGAAAGCACATTTAGG